CAACAGCGGTGCGCAGCGCATCCCTGCCACGGCCATGCAGGATGGAGGCGGGTGCGTGCCCATGCCTGCCAAGTGCATCCCCACCTCATGGCCTCCGACTGCTCGCCGTCTTCAGGCTCGCCACCCGCTGCGCCGTGGGCGCGCGGCGACCCGGCCTCCTTGGGCTGCGCCGAAGGCAGCGCGGCGGCGGCGGTGGAGCCGGGTGTCGGTATGCCGGCGCTGCGCGCCCTAGGCGCTGTCGGGTCGACCGCCGGCTCCTCAAACTCGTACATGGACCCCGCCTCGACATCGTCCTCCTCATCGTCTGTCTGTGGCAGCGACATGGCGGAGGGGCGGCGATGCCACCTGCCCAGGGGCAGCCCCAGCGGGACAATGGGCGAGCCAATGACCATGCCCAGGTGATCCGGGAGCGAGCCACATGGCTGAAACTCAAATTCGTCGTCGCTGCTGCCGTCGAGGTCCGCTCTGCCAGGCACCGGCAAGTGTTGAGACATACTGCGGCCTCCTCGCTGCCTTCAGGGCACAAGTGGGCGTACAGTGCAACAGCCGACAGCAGCAGAGGCTTGTGAGTCCACGTTGCCAGCCAGGGTATGGACCCACGTGTTCGCCCCATCAGCGTTCAGGCTCATTTGGCGCTCTACACCCGCCATCACAGGTCTGTGAATCAATTCAAAGCATGCATGATCCATGCGCCGCCCACAAGCACGCCCCAACCTACTGCCGCCGCCCAGGTCGCCGCTACCCGCCCCGCCGCCGCCATCCGCTGGGTTGTGCCTCAGAGCGTCATATTAACGGCCTGCCACATTCCCTATAAAAGAGGGACCTCGTATATAAGTTAATTATAAGTTAATCATACGCTGATGGGCAGCTGGCAGCCGAGACCCTGTCGCCCAACCGCCAGCGACAGCCCAGGGGCGCCGCTGCCCGATTTCCTAGCATTTCTTGTGTGCAGCAGGTGTGCTCAGCAACCTAGTCTTCCTGCAGGTCCGCAGTTTGCCTGCATTCTCATCTGCCCATATTCCTGCTTTCCACCTGCTGTAATGGGGGAGTTGACCTCCCCATATCAGCCTTGGACTGGGCTGGCTCGCCCCTTTCCTTCGCCCTGTTTGTGCCAGGCACAGCTGGGCACCCCGCAACATACCAGTGCTGAAACTGTCAAGCGCCATGGCCCGCGGCACGGTTCTGGTGGCCCTGGTGCTGCTTTTGGGCACTGCTGCTGCGCAGGAGATTGCAGGTGGGGTGCTGCCAGCCTCGGCAGGCCGCCGCTGCTGCTCCCAGCTGGGGGAGGCGCTGAAGCAGCCGGTGCAGCAGCTGCTGTTGGGGGGCCTTGGAGGCCTCTGCAGCCGAGGAATGGGAGGTGCAGGCATGACTTGTGCAGGAGGGAACAGGAAGCGAGCTGGGGACGCGCTGGCGGAGCAGCGGTGGAACCGAGGGCCGCCGGGCAGCACGGCTCCCTGTCCCACCCGCTCTGCGTCACCTCCAGCTCATGCCCTCTGCTGATTCATGCTCCTGCAGGGACTGCTGCCGCCCCGACTGAGCCCATCCTGGTGGTTCCCCCCGCTGCCGAGCTCGTGGGCCGCAAGCTCCAGCAGGTGGGCGGTTTTGGTGGCTCCTTGCCACCAACCTTGGTTGCCAGTTTTGTCAGCCAGCCAGCCCCTGCTGCCCTAGCAGAGGTTTCCTCCCCCTCAGCTGCCTCCTGGGCGTAGGAAGGCCTGCCAGCTTGCTTACTCTTGCTCTTTGTGTCGGGCCCTTGCTGGCACGCAGGTGTCTCCCGTGTCACCAACCACCGTCGCCATCCTGGGCGCCCCCCTGGTCGAGCAGCTGCTGACCGGCGCTGGCCAGGGGCGCAAGCTGCAGCAGGCGGGGCCCCTCGCCTACCAGCGCGGCTGTTGCCCGCCTGCGGCAGCTCGCTCCCAGCTGGCTGCACACTGGGCACAGCGATGTCTCGCCGGCGTGCTCCACCTCGTGCCTGAGGCGCCCCTCCCTGTGCTGCGCCCCGCTGTCCCACAGGCGGAGCCCCTGGCTCCCACGGCTGCCGCCATCCTGGGCGCCCCCCTGGCCGAGCAGCTGCTGACGGGGCCGGCGGGCCAGGGCCGCAAGCTGCAGCAGGCTGGCCTGGCTGCGCTGCTGCCTGTGCCCGTGGCCGAGAGCCTGGTGGAATCGGCGCGCCTGGCCGAACAGATTGGCACCAACACCCGCCCGACCGGCCGTAAGCTCCAGCAGGTGTGAGGCTGGTGGCCTTGGCTGCCTTGCATTCGTTCAGGCCCCAGCACAGCACAGCGTGCGCACCGAATCGGGGCGGGTACCCGCCAGTCCGATGTGCTGCCCCGCGCCATGCACACGCCTGCCAGGCCATGCTGCTGTGGCGCTCGCCCCTCCCACGCAGGCGGAGACCGAGAGGGAGGGCCTGCTCATCTTTGCGCCTGTACCCGTGCCCGAGCTGCCAATGACTGTGCCGGAGCAGCCGCTGACGGGGCGCCGCCTGAGCCAGATTGTGGACACCTCCGCCCTCATCCCGCTGCTGCTCACCCCCCTGGCCGAGAGCCTGGCCTCCACAGTGCGCGGGGGCCGCCGCCTGCAGCAGGAGCCAGAGATGGCGGACCAGGAGAACATTGTGGGCCCTGTGGGCACGACCCCCGCGGTCGAGGCGGAGGGCGAGGGCGAGGGCGGCGGCCGCCGCCTGCAGCAGGCTGGGCTGGCCGGGCTGGAGACATCCACCCCCTCCCTGGTGACCCCCCCGCTGGCCGAGAGCCTGGCCACGCCCGCCGGCCAGGGGCGCCGCCTGCAGCAGGCTGTGGCGTACGAGCCGACTGCCGCCCCTCCGGGGCTGGTCCCCGCCACCCAGAGCCTGACAGCTCCTGCTGGCCTGGGCCGCCCCCTGCAGCAGACCACGGGGCTCGAGCCCGTGTCCCTGCTGTCCCCGGCCGCTGAGCGCCTGCGTGAGGAGCTCACCGGCACCGAGACCGGCACCCTGGGCACCGCCACCGGTCCCACCGGCCGCAAGCTTCAGCAGGTGCGCTCTGGAAGCCCTGCTTCACCGCCTCCTGGCATCCAAGCCCCAGCACTGCAGCACGTGTGTGCACAGCAGGGCGCCAGCTGATGCGCCGCCCTTCACCCTTCACACACCTGGGTGCTCTTCCCCGTCCGTTTGCCATGCAGGCTGGTGCCGAGACGGAGGGCCTGCTGGTCACTGTGTTTGTGCCTGTGCCCTTGCCCGAGAGGCCCCTGATGGGGGCCCCCTGAGCCAGGTGAGGGCTGGAGGAGATGAGCGTGGGAAGGCATGCTGTAGGCTTGCAGGCACACAGGCGTGATGCTGCCCTGCCGCGGTTGCTTCCTCACTGCGCGCCTTGCTGCAACTGCCGGGTGTGGCATGCAGCTCCGGCTACAGACGTGCCCTGAGCTGCCGCCCCAGCGCATCCACTGCCGGCCCAGGCTGGCCTGGCTGGCCACGCCAACGACATCCCTAGGAACTCAACCTGCAACACCCGTCTGCTCAAGACCGCGCATTGCTGCCTGGCAGCAAGCCGGCAGCCGATTCAGACTGACTCTCCCCCTTTTACTGCCCCCTGCCTAGCAATTCAACACCCTCGCACTGTACAGCTGCAGTTGATTTGTGCCAGCACCGTTGCCTTTCCAGCTGGCCTCGCAGCTGGTTGTGGCTCACATTCTGTGCAGAAAGTGGCGGAGAGCAAGAGTATTGTACAGGAATGTGTAATGAAATGAGCAGGAGCAACGAGCACAGGAGTCTTTATCACACGGGAGAGGCATTTGTTGGGGGAAAAGCAGCAGCAGGAAAGAGCCCCAGGCGGCACAGATCAGTCCAGGTCTGCCGCCTCCACCTTGCCATCCTCCTCCTCGCTGCCGCTGCCGCCTCCTCCTGCCGCCGCGTCGCCGCCGTCCTGCTGCTCGCCTGCTGGCGCCGCGCCGGCGGCCCCTCCCTCCTGCTTCTGCTTCTTGGCCTTCTGCTTGTCCTGCACCACCCAGCGCAGGCGCGGTACGGCTGAGCGGCATGCATGGCAGACTTTCACGCCCTGCCGCTGGGGGCAAGCAGCATGCGGGGGCAGCGCAGCAGACCACAACCCCCCGCAGCAGGTCAGGCCCAGCAGGCACATGAGCGCAGCGACAACGATCCCAGCCCCTCTGCTCTAGCACTGCACAGCCTGCTCCCTCCCTGCCTGCCTCCCTGGCGCCCCGCCACCGCAGCAGCAGCCGCCGCACCTTCTTCTTCTGCCGCGCCGCGCGCTTCTTGGCTGTGCGCTCCTCGTCCGCCCGCTGGTTCTCCTCCTGCTTGCGCTGGAACTCCTCCGACTTCTTCATCGCCTCCCAGTCCTCGTCCAGCCGCTCCAGCCGCTCCTGCTCGCGCCGCCGCGACTGCACAGGACCAGGGGTGCGAGGGGGGCCAAGGCATGGCTCCCTGTGCAGAGGCGCGGCTGGCTGCGTGGCGGGCAGCGGAAACGCGGACAGGATGCATCCACCCGTGAGCTGAGCTGCATGCTAGAGCTGCATGCTAGCCGCACAGCCAAGGCAATGCCGCCTGCAGCTGTGTGCAGCGAGCACAGGGGCCGGCAGGAGGCGGAGCTCACCGCTCGGTACATGTGGAACTCTCCGCTGCCCGCGCCTGCGTTGCTGCCCATGATGTGGTAGCGCCGGTCTGGGATCTTCTCCACAATGAACCGCAGCTTTTCCTCCAGCTTCTCAGCCTGCATGCAGCAGGGCAGCAGCAGGTGTTCAACGGCGAGCGGTGGCGGTGGCAGACGCTGCGGGCAGCGCTCTCACCTCCTTCTGCCGCTCTTCTCGCTCCTCTGCAGTCACGGCCTGCGCTGCCGCCAGCGCCAGGTCCTGGCTGTGCCCCACAAAGTGTTGCAGCGCCATCACTGACACGCCCGCCGCTGGGTGATCCTAGTGGACAACGCAAGCGTACAAAGGATCCTGCTGACCGCGCTGGGCGGCTGAGGCGGCAGGGGGAGGCAAGCGGGAGGAGGCTCGCGAAGAGCTGGAGGCAGAGAGGGCCGGCCGCTCCTGCAAGTGCTAGCCACTGATTTTGGATTGTTGAAGAGAGCGAATGGAGGCGGAAAATGGTGCGCATGAGGAACAGCCCAGCACGCAGCATACGCCTTACATTCGCTGGAGCGCGCCGGAGCCCTGCATCCTGTGCAGAGGCAGCCCGTCCAGACTTGCCGGCGCCATCGGCATTCGCCCAGCCAGCTCTCTGGGCCCGCACCTCTCTCTCAGCACGGGCGCCGCCCATTTGTGCTCTTCTGTCCCAAATACTCCCGCAGCCCGCGCCCCCCAGGTGTCGAACGTCGGAAACAGCACGGGTGCGGGGTGACTAACCGGGCAGCCTTGGCGTGCCGGAGCAACGGTGGGCTTGAATAACCCGAGGCACCCTCCTGCGTGCAGGATGCGGCCCATGGTCGTAGGGAGGGCAGCGCGGCTGGCCCGCAGCGCGCGCAGCTACACCAGCGCCACGAAAGCGACGGCGTCGCCCTTGGCCGCCGTCGCCCACTCCTCCTCGCCCCCCGCCGCCCCGTCCAGCCCGCCCGCCGGCGCCTCGCTGCAGTGGTGCGGCGCAGGGCTGAGCCTGCAGCAGGCGTTTGACGCGCACAGCTTTGCGCAGCTGGGGCACCACGGGGAGGTGCCTGCGGGAGATGCTGACGAGGACGATGAGCTGGACCTCCAGGTGGCAGCCATTCTGCGGCAGCACCTCGAAGACGCCTTCAGCCGCGGCTCCACCGCAGCGCCCGGCATGTGCGGGCCGCCCGCCGCTGCCTTGGCTGTGGCGGCGGAGGCGGAGGCGCTGCAGCCGGCGGTGGCGCCGCCGCCGCCCGCCGCCGCCGCCAGCCTGCGGGCCAGCACAAAGGCTGTGGAGGCGCGGCTGGCCAAGCCGGCGCCGGCCGCCGTGCCGCTCACGCTGGAGGCAGCGCTGCAGCCCAGCACGCAGGCCAGGCAAGTCGCTGCACAAAGGGCGAGCCTGCTCGTGTGCTGCGGCCTGGGCTGTTGCTGGTGTTGGGTGTGCTCTCCTCCGCCGTTGATGCGGAGCCCAGCTTGCTGGCCTGCGGTCCAGCTCTGGCTGCCCCTCCTCCTCACCATCCCCCCCCTGCTGCCGCCCCTCGCTGCAGGATGGTTGTGGAGGCTGAGGCGCCACACACGGTTGCCTGGGCCAACGTGGCGTGGGAGGAGCTGGCGGGGGTGGAGTGGACCTCGGTGCTGGGCCAGCCCTGCTTGGAGGTGGTGCAGGTGCGCCGCCGGCTGCTAGGCTGGTGCCGTTGCTGGCGCCAGGGCCGGGACTTGCGACGCGCATCTGTGAGTGTGCATCGAGCACGATGGCGGGGGTTGCTGTGGGCGACCCAGCGCCAATGCGGCCGCTCCCCGCGCATCTCCTCTGCCCGCAGGCCGCCGCCAGCGAGGAGCTGGCGGAGGGGCTTGCTGAGGCGCTGCAGCAGCGCGCGCGCGGCAGCGCCGTGCTGTGCTACGGCGGCGCGCCGGTGCGCGTCACCGCCGCGCCGCTGCTCGCCCGCGACGGCTCCCCGCCCCGCATGCTCCTGGCCTTCACCCCCGCCGGACGCACCCCCGAGTGAGCGGGCGGCGGGCAGGAGCCCTGGCGCGCCCCGGCAGCGGCCGCGGGCTGACAGCCGCTGCTGCGACAACCAACGACTGCGGCTGATGCCGCCGTCAACCTCTTTTTCACACCTCCATGGTGTGCTGTTGAGGCACTCCACAGCGAAACCAACTCGGAACCCAGGATAGGATACCACGCGCCAGCGCTGCACGCTCGGCCCCCCATGACGCTCTCCAACAAATGGCCCCTCTCACCCTCTGCCCTGTTCTTGTCAGGCCCTCATGATGAGGGGGCGGGCGCCGCGCCACCAGGCCCCTAACCGCCCTATGCGCCGCCCACCCCCGCCATGCAATATACAATTGGCTGCGCCCGCCCTTGGCTGCATGCGGCCGGCCCCACCCCACGATACCTACCCTCTCCCGTCCTTGCGCCTTTGCCTCTACCCCGTGTCCCTACTGTCTCTGTTGCCTCGGCACCCTCAATGTCCTGCCCCTGCCTGACAACACATAGCACTTGTGTGCTGCCTGCCTCGTCGTTCGTTTTCCGCAACGCTTGCACCGCGAAGCAGCATGCACCCCTCGCTGCATGGGCGGCTCTGCATCTTGCCTCTTTTCCGCGCATCCCTCTGCAGCCGCGGCTGCGGGCCTCCCTCATGCATGCCGTCTGTGTGGCTGACGATCTGAATCGAACCAACGATATTCTTCTCGCACTGCTGGCCGATATCTCTGCCGACCTCCTCTCTCCTGCTGCCCATTGCTCCCGGCCGCCAGCCCCCTTGTATCATCAGCCACTCTGACTCGCCTGCCCTGTACGATGCGCCCCGTGTGTATGCGCCACACCGAAACGCTCCCGCCCCATGCATTCTTGAAACAAATGAGTTTTGATTTGCTTGTCCAATTAACAGCACCATCTGAAACCCCAATTGGATGCGGTTCCGCTTACAGGTGGTTAGAGCAAGTCTGAATTGGAGGGGAAGGGCAGCAAGCACGGCAGGATGGACACACAAAACAGCAGCATTTCCAGCTGAAAAACACCAGTGTAGGAGTCGGCATTGCAGCTGACAATGCGGTACCGGCGCTACACCCGCTTGGCGGTGGTGCTGTTGCCGGCCTTGGCGGGGGCAACCAGCGCGGCGTCACCGGCCTGCACGAGAGCCTGGTACATGCCACACATGCCGGCATCGGTCATCGCAATGCGCACGAAGCCGCTCTCGCCTGCAGCCTCAGAGGGGCAGGAGGGGTGGGGGCTGGATGAGCACAGGCGGCCAGCAGCAGAGGGTGGCACAGGCGGCCCGCCAGGCGTGGCAGCCCAGCACACGACACGCTGGCTGCCGCTCACCCCAGCTGGCCCCCAGGCTGTTCTTGGCCAGGAAGTTCTCAAAGCCGGGCTTCTCGGTGCTGTAGCCCACAACCAGCAGGGCGTGGTTGGGTGCGGCGGCGTGGGCGCAGGTGGGCGAGGACCACACGCCGCCGGCATAGTGCTGGAAGGTGGAATCCACAGCCAGCAGGGCCAGGGCGGGCCTGGCGGCCAGCGCCTGCGGCGGGGGCAAGGGGGAGGGAGGGAGGGAGGGTGAAACGGTGAGGTGGTTGGCTGGCGGCGGGAGTGGAGCGGGCACATCCCGCCACGTCAGCCGCCCAGCACACATCAGCTGCCTACCTTGATGAGCGCCAGCTTGGTGGGCTGCACTGGCGTGTAGGCGGGGGTGGCGGTGATGCGCACCAGCCCCACCTTGGCGGCCTGGCCGGTAAGGAAGGTGCGGTTGCACTGCGCCGGCTGCCCAGTGGTGGCTAGGTTGCCGCCGCTGCCAGTGGCGGCGCGGTAGCGGTAGGCTGCAGGCAGGGGGGAGTGGGGAGAGGGAGGGGCAGGTTGGGGGCAGGTCAGCTAGGTGGGCGAGCGGCTGTAGGGCGCCAGCACATGTGTAAACAGGCAGAGTGCAAGCCAGTCGCGCCCTGCGCCAGGCTCAGCCCCACCCCTCACCCGACTCTGCAGTCACGCCAGCGGTGGCGGCAAGCTGGAGGGCGTCGGTGGGTGAGCCGCGCAGGCAGGCGGAGGCAGAGTAGTTGAACTGAGTGGAGGTGCAGTCCTGTGGGGCAGGTGGAAGGCGGCCAGGTGGTGCAAGGCATGTGGCCAGGTGGGAGCAGGTGGGTTGCAGCTGGTGAGCACGCAGGCAGGCAGGCACGCAGGCAGGCACTGTCGGCGCCTCACCATGATGTGCTGGGCGGACAGGGGGGCGGTGGTGTTGGTGGCGGCGGCGATGAGCAGGCTCGACTCGAGGGCGGCGGCGGTGGCAAAGGCCCACGACGAGGCGCACTCAGCCTGGAAGCCTGTGGCGGGCAGCACCTTGCCGGCGGCCAGCCAGCTGATGGCGGCGGGGTAGGCGGGGGCGGGGGTGCAGTTCCAGCAGTTGGCCATCAGCCTGCGCGCCCTGGCCTTGGTGGTGGTGGTGGTGGTGGTTGCAGCAGTGGTCTTGTTGGTGGTGGAGGCAGTGGTCGTCTTGTTGCCGACGGCGGCGGTCTTGCCCTGGGCGGGGGTCTTGGGTGTGGTGGGGGTCATGAGGATGGCCTGGGCAAACTCAGAGGGTGACAGGTCCGAGTAGGCGTTCAGGCTGGCCTGCAGCAGGGGCAGTGGGAGGCAGTGGGAGGCAGGCGGGTCAGGCACGTGAAGCTTGAAGAGCGGCGGCATGGCGGAGGTGCGCAGCCATTGCCGTGGCCGGGTCGCCGTGTCCCGCCCCCAACGTGTCTCCCTCCCCCCACCCACCCAGAACTTGGACGACAGGTTGGTGTTGATGTCCACAATGGTGCGCAGGCTGGACATCCAGGAGGCACGGGAGGAGCGGGGCACGTGCCACACCTGCAGGCGGTGCGGGCATGGGAAGGGAGGAGGGCGGGTGAGGAGTGGGGGGGTCAAGGGAGGCAGGGCCGAATGCAGGGACCCAGCCAGTGACCAGTGCTCCACCCTGCTGCTGGCTCCCACGCCAGCCACTCGCCTGGGGGTGGTAGCTCTTGCGCCAGGCGGCATACATGGATGCCAGCCAGGCGGCGGCGGTGGCGTTGCCGACGTCAGACAGCGCCAGCACAGCTTTGAGCTGGCAGGCCAGCGCCGCTGACTGCATCTTGTTGATGGTGATGCCCTTGGCTGCAGGGGGCAGGGGGGTCGGGAGGGCAAGGGGGGCAGAGCAGTGAGAGCCAGAGGCGCGTGGCAGCGGCGGCATGCGTGGCGCCATCACATCGAGGTGGTGTCAACGCGTTGCGAGATGTGGCCGCCTCGCGCGTGCCCAGCACCCAGGCAGGCACATACGAGTGGCAGGCGCCGCGTTAGGCCCGCCCTCGCTCACCAGAGCCCACGGTGAAGGTGTTGAGCAGGTCGACAGACACGGGGGGGCAGCCGGGCTCGGCGAGGCCAAAGGGCAGCGCAGGATGGGTGGAGGTGGCCGCCAGCGAGCTGCGGGCCAGCAGCAGCATGGCTGTGGTGGCCAGGAGGGCGAGGCGCGGGCACATGGTGGGGAGGGGGCACACGAGGGAGGCTAGGGGTGGACCTCTGCTGTTGCAGTGCAGCATGAAAGCTAAGAATGACAGTGGAATGCACCGTGGCGGCCTGATAAGCGCGTTCCGGAGGTCCGGGGAGGGGAGACGCAGCCCCAGCATGACCACAGCAGGATTGGCCAGGCAGCCTGCCACGCGCCTCCGGCTGCCCCTCCGGACGCCACGCGGTGACTGGGAGGCAGGGGAATGGCTGCAGGCGGCAAAGAGCAGAGAAGAGTGCCCAGCGAGGCAGTGCGCCATCTCCGCGCCGGCAGGCGGCGCGCCATCACATCGGCAGTGGGACAGAGGCCAGCCAGTGGTAGAGCACTTCTCAGACGCTCGGTGTTGTGACGACAGTGTGAATTATATTCGTGCCCTGGCAATATTAACCCTCAAACTGTTGACGCCGTCAGGGAGAAGGTAAGGCGGGACACCCCGCCACCACCGCCGCCGTCGCCGCAGTCACCGAGGGTCTCGTGCCCTGTGTCAGTGTCACTCCTTCTCATAGCTCGGATTTGTGATGCAGAGGAAAGCCATGGCCCCATTACATCACCAGGTCTAGCATCCTGCCGTACAGTAGCAGCAGCTTCATTCAGGTAATGCTAACAGGACACAGATGTACCGTTGCCGCCCTGCTGAGGGTGCTTTGGCCCGCGTCCCACGTTCTTCTCTTCCCATGCGATCATTAGCATCCGCCTTCGACACAGGTGGCTGCTATAGTCCATTCTTGAAGGAGGGCCAAGCACCGCGGCCATTGGGCAGTCCATGCCCTGTTGCCGCTGCGGGCCCCAGCCGCTGCGCTGCCCCCCGATGAGCGCAGAGCGTAGGCTGGTGCGGATGGCCGTGTTGCTGGCCTTGGCGGGTGAGTGGTAGGCAACATGACGACTCGGCGCCCCCACCCTAGTGGGGGCCCCGTTGCAGTCGCTGCGGCTTGTGTTTGGCATTTCCAGCCATAAATATAGAGGCTCCGTAGCGATCAGTGAACAATTGAACTCCCTTCCGCGTGAAGGAACCGCCTGGAGTCAAGAGCCACCCTCGCCACCGCCCCTCAGCCCGCCGCCACCGAGCCCGCCTCCTCCCTCTCCGCCTCCACCCTCTCCACCACCCCCCAGCCCACCACCCCCCAGCCCACCACCTCCCAGCCCGCCGCCACCCTCGCCGCCACCCCCTAGCCCGCTCCCGCCCTCTCCAGCCCCGCCCACGCCGAGCCCGCCCTCTCCGCCGCCGGCCGTGCGCCCGTCCCAGGTGGCGGCCAGCCTGTTCCTGCTCGCTGGCCGCGGCTACGACTGGTCCACTGCTGGCTACCGTGGTGAGCTGCGCTGCACTGGAGGCGGGGGTGGTGTGGCAGCAGGGGCTGGGGCATGATGCGGTGTGCCAGGATAGACAAGTGTCGGAGTCCTGACAGCGGTGGATGCCGCACGCTGCACAACTGGAGGCAAGAGTTGACCGGAGGGGAAGAGTTGCTGCTGGCCAAGGGTGAAGGCGGCACCGTGCTGCTGCCTTGCAGATGGCGCCGACCTCCCCTCCCCGCCAGTGACCTTCAACATCAGAGACCCGCCGTTCAACGCGGCCGGCGACAACTCTACAGACGACACGGAAGCGTTCAAGGTGCGGCGGCGCGCCGAGGTCCCGCCCCAGCTGCCCGCCGCCTGGTGCAGCGCGCCCGGCGCTGCCGCCGTGCAGGCGCGCCGCTGCCCCGACCCTCCCTCCCACACCATCCCCTGCACTCCGCCAGCCAACCGCAACACTCCTGCGTGGGCTGGGGTGCCGTGCAGGCGGTTGTGGATGCGGCCAACGCCAGCCCGGGTGGCGGCGTCATCCTGCTCCCCGCCGGCACCTACATCCTCAAGGAGCCGCTGGTGGTGAACCGGTCGGGCGTGGTGTTTCGCGGCGAGGGGCGCGGCGCCACCACCATCCGCATCCCGCTCTCCCTATCAGACATCTACAACGGGTGAGGCGGCCGGCTGGCTTGCACGCAGCGGCCTGCGCCCGCGATGCACATGCCTGGCGCCCAGCTCGGGAGCAGGCAGGGCCGCGGCAGCGCCGTGCAGTGCTGGCCAGCTGCCCTCTTGCGGCGCTGCCCTGCGCCCCCCGGAACCAAGCAGACACACACAAACTCCTGCCCCTGCCCCTTGCGCTGCAGAACCTGGTACATTGATGACGCTGGTGAGGCCTCGCTGCCGCCAGGCGGCATTCCAAGCGGGTGTCCGCTGGTTGCCAACCCAGCGGGCGCCACACGGCTGCCGGTGGCAGCGCCGCTGGCAGCGGCCCGGCCATGCTTGCCCGCCCCGCCTGACGCGTTGCGCCGGCCCGTCCCCCGCCCCTTTGTTCTTGCTGCAGGCAAGATCCACTCTGCCTGGTCTTTCGGCGGCTCTTTCTTCCTGTTTCAGGGCGAGCCCCAGCGCAGCATCCGCCCCGAGAACCGCCTGGCGTTTGTGGCGGGGGTGCTGCCGGCGGGGGCGTACCGCATCCCGGTGAGCCGCGCTGCCCTGCCTCCACACAAAGAGCACAGCCAGCGGCGCCGGTGCGTGGCCGCCAGCTCCGCCTCCCCGGACGCCACCTCCCACCTCCCGTCCCGCCGCACCTGGACTGAATGCAGATCACCAGCACCGAGCTGTTCACTGTGGGCTCCTGGGTGCGCCTCTACCTCAACGACAACTCAACCGACTGGGGCTACACTGGCGGAGGAGGCGACCGTGAGCCGCGCCGCCCGCCAGCCCGCCCTCAGCGCTCACCCCACTGGCCCGCCGCCCACCGCTCGCGCACGGCCCGCCCTCTCGCCCACTTGCCCGCCTGTCCCTTGTTTGCGCTTCCCACCCTCAACCTATCCTATCGCTCATTGCCGGCTGCAGGCCGCCGCCGCCGCCGCCGCCTGCTGGCCGGTGGCGGCGACACGGTGACCACGACTGCCATTGTCGACCCGGCCACCGGCAGGCGCCTGGGCAAGCTGGTCACGCGGCCCGTGGACCCCGCTCTGCTGAGCAGCCCCGTGTTTGTGGCAGCCATGGAGGCGGCCCTGGAGTATGGAGAGGGCGACGCGGGGCTGAGCCCCGCCGAGGCGCTGGCGGCCAGCGGCATCGCCCCGCCGCCGCCAGGCGAAGTCTCCACAGCCACCGCCTCCCCCGGAACCATCACGGCCTGGGTGGTGAGCGGGGCTGGGGCTGCCGCCGGCGCCTGCACGCCCGCTTCGGCGTCCCGCTGGGCCACCCCCTTTGGCGTCCCGCTGGGGCCAGTGCGGCCGCCGGGCTCCTTGCAGCCGCCGCCGAGCCGAGCCGCGCTGAGCAGAGGCGCTGCCTGGCCCTGCCGCCGCCTGGCCCACGCGCCGCCGCATGGCCCACGCAGCCGCTGTTGTCCCGCCTGCTGCGGCCTGCAGTACGGCGACAACATGGCGGACAGCGGCGTGGTGAACAACACGCTGAGGAGGGACGACATCAGCCTGGTTGCCAGGGTGGAGGCCATCGGCAGCGGCTACATCGACCTGGACAGGGAGCTGCCCTTCCCAAGTGAGCCTCGCGCGGTGGCTGGGGGCGCCGCGGCACGCAGCGCACGCTCCGCATCCCTCCTCCTCTCGGCCCCGCCGCTGCCGTCGCTCCGCTCCGGCGCCTGGGCCCGCTCCTGCCTACAACATGTGCAGCAAGCTTGCCTGCCTGACTGGCGCACGTGGCTGCCCGCCGCCGCTGCACGGTGCAGTCCAGGAGGGGTGGGAGGGCCTGTTCCTCCGCTACCTGCCCACAGTGGAAGACGGTGGCATGGAGCAGCTGACCATAGCCTTCGAGTGAGCGCCTGCCTGCCTGCCTGCCTGCCTGCCTGCCTGCCCGCCTGCGCTTGCCGCAGCGCAAGGGGCGCCCACCCCATCGCATCCTCGCACCCTCAGAAGTGCTGCCTGCCCGTGTTGCTGCGCAGCCACGAGATGCTGCCGGTGCCGCCTCACTTCACTGACAAGGGGTACAACGCCATTTCGATGCGCTTTGCGGCAAACATGGTGATGGGGGTTGGGAGTGTGGGTGTGGAAGGCGTGTAATGCGTGCGGGGAGCTTGCTGAGTGCCATCTGGGGTGTGGGGTTGCCAGCTGGGCCTCGTGGTGTCGCGCTGGGCGGCACGGGTCTGTGTGTGGCGTGACCCTCACCTTGCCGTGGCTCCGCGCCCACCCCCGCCGCAGTGGCTCAAAGAGGTCACCATCGTCAACGCCGACAACGGCTGCTTCAACGATCGTGTGAGCTGGGGGCATTGGTGCCGGCGCGGGCGCTCGCGCGTTTGCTGCTGCCGCCGGCGCGGGCGCCGTGTCTGCGCTGCCGCGTCGCCATCTGGCATGCTCTAGGCTGCGGCTCCTTCCTCCCAGCGCTCTCACCAGATTGCCCCCCCCTCCTTCCGTGCGCCGCCCCGTCCTGCGCTGCCGTGCAGACGGACAAGTCCACCTTTAAAGGTTGGCAGGGCTGCTGTGTGCCTCTCGCCCTCCCCCAGCTCCCGCAACACTCGGCTGCCCTCCCTCTCCCTGCCTCCCCGCCACGCCTGTTCCGACTGCCCTCCCCCTGACAGCCACATGCTGCCATCCACAAACGCGCCGCGAGCACAAGAACGCCCACCCTGCCGCACACGCCTCCCTTGTCCCCTGCCCGGCCCTGCCTGCAGATGTGACGGCGACAGTGACGTCCCGCCGCTGGGTGGACTCTCTGTTTAACCAGGCAGTCAACGGCCACCACCCCATCTTCCTGGCACACTGCCAGAGCAACCTGGTGGACGGGTGGGTGGGTGGGTGGGTGGGTGGGGCAATGGA